AAGTGATATCACTTTCATTATTTTACACTCTTAAATATTGTCTAGATTATATATTATGCAACTGTTTGGACGTGACTGTTAATAGTAATTTATATTTATACTTCCAGGGGGCCAGAAGAAACGAACGTTTTGAAGAGTCCATCTCACAAGTATCCAAAGCAACTTGAGTTTGAATGTAAAAAGGACGCCGACCCTAATCTTTATTATGTTGACACCATAAGGGATTGCCGTCACTTTCACCGCTGTGTGAATGGCAAGAAATACGAGTAAGAATCAGTGCAAAAACTAAATAATATAACGAAAATCAATAGAAAACGAAAGCAAAATTTATGTTTCTTTGCATATGGATATGAACCGAAATATTTCTTAACCAATATTTATAATTATTTATACTCAGATGCACAATTCTCATTTTTTTATTTTTAGTATAATTTAAAAAATATCGCGTTCTTCTTAAAGAAAAAAATATATAAATATAAAGTTTTCTCTGAGATAACAGTTAAAGATCTTAATCAGTGCTAAAAGTCCAAGTTAAACTACGTTAACTTAGAGCGAACAACTCTACATTTCAGGGTCCCGTCCAATATTTAGCAAATTTGTAATTGGTCCTTCACAAAAATTCTAACTGGTCTACTCCAAGAACACATATGTATATGTTATTCCATTTCATCAGTTGCAAATATATGTGTACATATATTCGTAACATTGGACAAAAATATTTGTTTGAAAACAACAGATTTTAAATATATATCACTCTTGGAATGGGCACAATCTTCAAATTAATCCAGGTAAACGCAAAAAAATAATGTGCCTTGAGATTACTATTTTAATACTGACCAAAAAAGGTAAGGTATTCGTCAATATAGATGTTAATATTCGTCAAGCTTCGTTTGGATCGATCTGTCCATTCACATTTTCCAGGGACCTCCTCACTTCAGACGTCATAGGTTTGGTTTGTTATGAAAATTTCGCATAAAGCTACTCGAGAGCTCTATGTACTAGCAGTCTATAATTTAACAGTGATAGACTATAGGGACGGCCGCTAGTCATCATAGTCAACACCACCCACCGCCAACTCTTGATCTCCTTTTTTACCAATGAATGATGGGATTGACTGTCACATTGTAATGCCCCCACGGCTGAAAGGGCAAGCATGTTTGGTGATGGGGATCCGAACCTCGACCCGCAGCTTACACAGGTTTGATTTGGTTGTTGTTAAGGAGGAACCTACACAATGTGCTAACAGTGCTTTGCCCACCACGGGTATCGAAACCCATTTTGCAGCGTTTTAAACCTGTGGACTTATTGCTGAGCCGCTAGGAGGTAGACGTCATAGGAATTTCTCATAATGTCTAAAAAATAGGATCCCCAGAAAGCTAGAGACTACATTTGAAAGATTGGAGTAAAGAAGATACTTTCATGAAACGAAAACTTAACCATGGTTTTAGAAAAAGAAAAGTATAAAAATGTAGGTTTCATGACAAGGAAAAATTCTTAAAGTCATAATCGGTTCTTGAGCCGATTATTTTTTTTTTATCTAGTCAGGTTACGGGCCTTCTAGCTAGTCAAAGCCAACTACAGGACGCGAATTTCGGACCTTGTTACATTTCTCTGTAAAATGGAAATAAGTAAATAGTAAGCACGTTTTTCCTTACTTAGAGCAGCTTTCCATCTGGACATGAGACAAGAATTTGCTTTTCAGAATATTCGAAACATTAAAGTTATAACATCAAAAATCACAAACAATGATTAAAACAGTATATCTCAAACTGTAGATTTGCCGTGGCACGTGATCTGTGTTTCATGTGACCGTGATAATTAACAAACTCTGTCACACACACACACACATTGCGTTGCCTGGCCTGATAGTGTTATTTTGTTGTCGTTGACTTTTAGCAAAAATAACTTATAACTTTCCAGGTAACTTTCTTGTGCCACGTCATCTGGAAAATTCACATACATACATACACCGTATCACGTAATCTGATAGTATTCTTCTATTGTAAATGACTTTGAAATGAGAGTACTTAAAAATTAGAAGCTTTTCAACTTTTACTCCAAAAGGCGTCTGGTAGTACAAGAAATTCTATTCTGTTGATTATATATAGTTAATTGGTGATGTATGTTAGAGATTTTGATGCACATTAGAAGTTAAGAAATGTGTTAATTCTAATAAATAGTTATTAGATGTTAAAAAGTAACTTAACCTTCTTTAAGAGACGAACAACTTTCATCATGGCTACTACTAGATATTTCTTATGAGTATTTCAAAATTTACATAAAATCATCATTTTAAATCGAAAATAAAGCAGAACAACTTTTTATCGATATTTTTTCTAACATGTTTCTGAACAAATAATTACAAATATAAAACGTAAGAAAAAAAGAGGGTCTATTTTCCAAATCTACAAATCTTTGTAAAACTTGTATAATGCGTCATTTTATCTATTTGAATTTGCTACTTAGGTTCAACTGTCCAGAAGGCTTAGCATTTGACAGCAGTAAGCAGGCTTGTCTTCTAAAGGACCATGTCAAGTGTGACCGTAAAGAGCCAGAGGAATAAGTCATTCTCTTTGTTCAAATATGTTTACGTGTGAAGCTACTTGTTATTGTCAAAATGTTAAAAATAAGTAATAATTAAATGTGTAATTAATACTTGAAACAGTCGGTACTTGGTGAAACTCCATAATTACAAAAAAAGAGGAAAACAAAGATAATTGTACGTTTCATAAATATTTCATGTATGACAACTTGATGATGTCTTTACTACCAAAACCAAGATCGTCATAAATAAAATATTTGTGAAACGTACAACTGTCTTTGTTTTCCTCCATTTTTTTAAACAAATATGGGCTTAGTTTGATTGTACTATCGTTATATTATCAAACAATGCAAGTTATCTATTTTACTCCAAGAAAATGTGATTTAGGACGTTCTGTAAGCTAATATAAAATATATTTCTCCAAATTAACCTTTAAGACAAACTTGTCTCAGTTATTTTGATTATTATACACGCAGGATAATTAACTGTTCATCCTGTACTGATTAAAAATATTTGACTAGCAGTAGCAATAACATATGAAAATCTATGTTGATTTTTCACTGTTTGGAAATTATGAATATTAAAGAGAAACTTATATAAATTGTTTTTTATGTCGTTATTTCTTTAAATTTAATATACACGACTTATGATTCCAATTCCATTTCATCTGTATTATATAGTATTTACAATTGAAAATAATAAAAGTCAAAATATACGCAAAACAAAACTCTCTTATTGGTTATCTTTTTTTCTCTTAAGTAATGTTTAGGTAATTCAAAGTTTTATCACGTCTTTGATGCAGATCTTGATCAAGTCGATTCTAGAGTAAAGTTGTCTAAACTAATAAACATTGTTACGTTACTAATAAACTACATTGTTACGCTACTAATAAACTACATTGTTACACTACTAATAAACTACATTGTTACGCTACTAATAAATGTCATTGTTACGCTACTAATAAATGACATTGTTACGCTACTAATAAACTACATTGTTACGCTACTAATAAACTACATTGTTACGCTACTAATAAACTACATTGTTACACTACTAATAAATGACATTGTTACGTTACTAATAAATGACATTGTTACGCTACTAATAAATGACATTGTAAGGCTACTAATAAATGGCATTGTTACGCTACTAATAAACTACATTGTTACGCTACTAATAAACTACATTGTTACGCTACTAATAAATGGCATTGTTACGCTACTAATAAATGACATTGTTACGCTAATAATAAACTACATTGTTACGCTACTAATAAATGACATTGTAACGCTACTAATAAATGACATTGTAACGCTACTAATAAACTACATTGTTACGCTACTAATAAATTACATTGTTACGCTAACGCCTGCTTTGAAGAACAAACATTCTTTTTGTTTTCAGTTTGAGCCAAAGAACTTTAAGATATAGGTGTTATCTATGGCTATTTGAATACACTAGAAAATGGTGTATTTGACAATGAAGTGAGGTCAAAGACCAAAAACTATATCGCATTGTTACACTGGTCTAAATTTTAGACGCAAATCTTATAAGAAAAATTACTCAAATAGCAGTTTCTAGCTACGATCACGAACGAGATATCTCGAACAAGGTCAAGAAACTGTAGCCATGTTTTAAGAATAAAAAACCTACATTCAACATGCATAACTGAGCTCTGAATAGCTTAACAAATCATTCTGTTCACGAAGTATGATCTTGCACTGCTACGACTCACGGCTGTGCTTTTATCAGTTATTATACAAAGCTCCGGAGTCATTGTCCAACTGTTGCCAGATCTGAGGGAAAAAAAATACATATATATATATATCAAATAGAAAATGCTTTGTCAAACACGAAACATGAAAACCTGAAATATATTCATGCTTTAATACTATGCTTTACTAAAACGGTAAAATTTGTGGTCGATAAATTTTGATTCCTTAAAGTTCTTTGATCTTGAAAATTTGTATTAAGATGCGAGAATTTAATTCGATGTGACTATCTTGAAAAATGGTAAGCGTCGCTAAGTGTAAGTGTACCCACCAAATGGTCACTCAGAGTAAGAGTACCCACCAAATGGTCGCTAGAGTAAGAGTACCCACCAAATGGTCGCTAAGAGTAAGAGTACCCACCAAATGGTTGCTAAAGAATAAGAGTACCCACTAAATGGTCGCTATAAGTAAGAGTACTCACCAAATGGTCGCTAAAGAGTAAGAGTACCCACTAAATAATAGTTCTTGTTCCTCTTTTCTTCGTTTTCACATTACAAAAGGCGTCATATTTCATTATTCCAATGGTTACTATTATTTCTTGCTACGAAAGTATAGGATTTCTAAAACAGTTTCTATTATTAACCACAGTTTTAATTTTGTCTATTTTACAAATGTACATAAAACACATTTTAAAACATTATATGATGTGGTAATGTTAGTATCACGTTGTGTTCAAACTCTAAAAAATACCTGATTTTTAATCCGGTATACGCTTATAAAAAATTTAAAATATCCTAATGCTAAATCAAGACACACAGTATTGTGTTGTGCGGTCAAAACAACCTGTAGGACACGCTGTATGTTATTAACAGGTGTGACAGTTTAGCAACTGTTTGTGGTAATCAAAACTATCATATGTTTTCAGAAGATGTGTTCTACTTCATATACCAAATTTCAAGGCATTCCATTAAGAAATACACGGGATATAAAATCTTCAATTTTGGTTGAATTTCTTCCTGTATTTTCTTCACACCAAAAGTACGGAAATGTATTTAATAGGAAAACATACTTAACTTTCATGGATTTTTTTTTCAAATTTGGTACAGTGCAACTTTCAATTAGTTGTCAAATTTGGTTTAAACATAAGTCACATGTGCAAAGTTATTCAACAAAAATCGCTCATTTTTGACCAAAATTTTTGCGCACGCCTACGCAAAAAGTCACGTGAGCTATCGGTCTCATATTTTTTCCTACAGTTTCACCTAAGTGTACGTTTTAGTTTTTTGTCAATCGTATTAAAGACGGCTGATTTAGAGCAGCAAAACTATAGAGTGAAAGGGCGTGCAAATACACAAGTATTGGTTAGGCCAAGCAAACTAGATTAGCAGTTTCTAGCTCAAGTTTTCAAAAGAATTATACAGGCGAAGGGTTATTATTAATTATTCATTGCCAACTTTTCAGCACATATTTACTAAATTTATGAAATTATTCTGACTAAAGAGCTTTTAGTGTCAAGTAATATTAGTTTAAGCTTAAATAATGATGCTTGATATGGCTGTACCGGGTTCATGTGTGTGGGGCGGGAGAAGAAACTGTTAATCTAGTGTCCAAGGCGTTACCATAAAGGAAGTTATTAACACTGTCTTAGAGAGGAAAAACTATCATCATATATCCTAAAGAATCTGGTTGGTTCTGTAAAGTATAGGTCTATTCCGAATAATAGGGTTGCGATATTAAAGCTAATGTTGGTTAGTATCGAATGTCACTTACTTACTGTGGTTTGTTGGTGTGTATTGACAAAACGTCCAAAAACACCTTGGGTGTGAGAAAAAGTTGCGACCAAAAAAGGACTGAGTGTGCAACTTAAAGGAATAAAACCAAAACTGGCAGCCAAACTGACAGCTACATTTGTAGCATTGATAATAATTTTACAGCAAATATTCATTCGTATTATGTTTTTTGCCACCATCATGTCCCAAGTTAATAGATTACTGTAGTTAGGTTAACAAGCATATGATTAACTTTTATTTAAAGCTCAACGTTTTTACTGGTCATTCTAAATATTTACGAATATAATTTTTAAGGGCAGTTTGAGTTCTTAAACTTTCACCAGACACTTGAGTTTATTTAATAAATATAAAAAACAATAAAATAATGGGTTATAAAATAGTTTATTTTAGTGAAACTAAAAACAGTCACGCAAACAATTAATTAGACAAATCTAGAGGGAACGGTATAGTGCTATTGCTGCCATCTACTGGTTAAATGGAACATTGAGTAGTTCTTTTTGTACGTAAAAATTGTGTAATTATATTGTACTTTAATTTAAATACGAACTTCTAAGTTATAACAAAACTTGAATTCATATTTACTGGATTCAGTCAAAAACGTTTAAAATTTCATTTCGGAAGTAGTACCTAGTGATTTGAGCAATTCTTACTTGTGTTCCGAAACATTGAATTTCATCGCGTTTCTGGTACACCAGCTTATTTCTTTCTCGTTTCTAACACCCGTCATTGTTCTCCTAATTTTCACAAAACATACATTGTGTTAAATGCAGTCTTTCCGGAATAAACTCTAACGTTTCTGGTGGCTTTAAATCGAATGGTAATCAACAGAGAAATTGCATATTTTTGAAATGTCTACAGTTGCGTGAGCTCATTTCTTTCTGGATTTCAAACTTCTGATCGAGGTTTGGTTTTGAAATTATACCTGAAAAAGTTGATTTATTTTTGCTTTTGGTTATTTTCTAACGTGGGCATTATACTTACACATTTTAGTACTGATGTCACATAGTTTTGTTTTTCACTTGAGTATAGTGCGATTATGAAAAAAAGAAGAAGCATAATTCTTGCATGTTTGACTCTAGGATTACGAAACTTGCAGGATATGTTCTTGATGAGCATTTAGTAGTCTTTCGTTAGTAGTTATTAACAAAGTTAAGATTCAAATAACCCTTTCGATCTACACAAAATTCCTCGGTGGGATGTTTTATGCTTTTTGATACAGAACTTTTCTAACTTGGCTCTTGAAGTTAGGTTCCATTTATTGAATTAAGTATTTTAATTATAAGTATCAATAATGAAACATTAAGCTACTGATTTGGAACTAAACATGGGTGTCAATATGAAAAGAGCTTTTCTTGGCAAAGTCCCGTTGAGTTAGTGAATCATACAGTTGCCAAAATATAAATTTTAACTTAGTGTGCTGAGTAAGTAAAAGAATGAAAGAGAGAAAGAAAGAAAATATATATCGAACAGATTTGAAGGGCACAGAAGTTTTCGTTTTCTGCTTTCTCTAAAGTCGACACCACGTGTTTTCAATTATATTTTCAATTCCCATCTTTTTTTTTAATTGGAACGTAAAGTTAAATTAATAAAAATTTATAGTTCGTAAAAAAGTGGCCATGTTAGAAAATGTTTGATAACACAACGAAATGTTTAGTTAGGGTTTAAGTTATTTAACTGGGTCTCTTGAAAACGATTTAAGATTGACATTTCATTATAATATCAATCAGACGGTGGTTTCAATTAATTGTTTGTTTGTTTTTGAATTTCGCGCAAAGCTACACGAGGGCTATCTGCGCTAGTCGTCCCTAATTTAGCAGTGGGAAGGCAGCTAGTCATCACCACCCACCGCCAACTCTTGGGATACTCTTTTACCAACGAATAGTGGGATTGACCGTCACTTTATAACGCCCCCACTGCTGAAAGGGCGAGCATGTTTGGTGGGACGGGGATTTGAACCCGCGACCCTCTGATTGCGAGTCGAGCGCCCTAACCACCTAGCCATGCCAGGCCGTTTCAATTAATAAAGAAGCTTTAGTAGTTTCGTATATATTGTTTAGTAAAGAAGCTATAGTAGTTTCATATATTGTTTAATAAAGAAG